TTTGGCAGCTTTCCCGGTGGAGGGACTGGTCTGTGGCTCTCCAGGCCTGGCAAGATCTCTTGCATCCGGTGTAGAAATTCCCCTGTATCAGAGCCGGACACTATGACCCGGTAGCTATGGTGGATACGTCGGGCAGTGGTGGTATAGGATAAAGACGACAAGGATACACCCGGGTGTTGCTCCAAATATGCTATTAGGGAACTGATATTTCCCTTGAGAGCCTTGATGGTTTTCGCTGTCACTGTCACTACGTGCTTGGAGCGGGGATCCGCAGCCAACTTGCTCTCTCGGATTGGCGCATCCTCGACGAGCATGGCGGTATTACCTCCTGCTGCGCTGAAGTTATTCAAGAACACCGTTCGCTTGAATTGCGGCATCTGTTCACGAAGCCAAGGTGTAGGCTTGAATGGAATATGCACGTTGCGCTGTTTTAGGTCAACTGGGTAGGTCTGGTTTATCCGGGTCTTAATGCCACAGTGCGGTGGGATCATATCATTTCGCATCATCAGTAGCACTTTTATCAAGGATGAAACTCCAGAAGCAGACTCGGCATGGCCCATATTAGCTTTTGCTGTACCCAAGTACAGGGAGTTCTGTCTGCGCATATTAGGCGCGAATACAGACAGGACCGACTTCATCTCTGTGGCATCCCCGGCCTGGGTTCCAGTGCCGTGCATTTCGACGTAACCCACGTCTTGGGGGTTGACTCCAGCATATCGCATGATCCGATTGAACACGGTCGCCTGGTCGCCTTCAAAAGGCCGGGTGATGGAGTCTGTTCTACCACAATGGTTGGTGTATGCACCACGAATGACGCCAAAGATGGGATCGCCATCCTCCAGAGCATCCTCTAGGCGTTTGAGAATAACGGTACCAACAGCGTCTGAGCGACAGTATCCGTCCGCTTCATCATCGAAAGCATTGCAATTGCCTGTCTCATCAGTCTGAATTTCTCACATAAACTTGGTCAGACTAACCTTTAGCCGTCAGAAAGTGGCCCCTATCCAGTCCACAGAAGTTATCAGGGTTCGTCAACACATTCACGCCTCCAGCCAGGGCAGTGTCACATTCACCTCGCCATAGGTAAGCACACGCTGTTTGAATAGCCGCGCAGCTGGATGAGCATGCCGTGTCGATACTCAGGCTGGGGCCACAGAACCGGAAGAAATAACTGTGCTGTCAGCAGAGTAGTACTTCAGTCATTAATCGAGATAGCATACCTGATCCTTCCGGTAATGAAGGCACGATTTCCTCCCGGGATAAAGTATGTGTCAACATTTTGCCCGCTATTGACCTCACGCCAGTCATCACTCGTCACCCCATAAAACACCCCGATGCGATCCCCTTGGGTGGACGGTGTCGCATTTGGCACCAGCCCCGCCATCTCCATTGCCTCATATGCCGTAGTGATGGCCAATCGCTGTGCCGGATCTGCATTCTCGGCCTCCCGGGGAGACATGTTGAAAAAGCGAGCATCGAACACCCCAGGCTCCTTGATAAAGCAGCCATACTTGACGCGACTGGTGTTTTTGGTCTTGCCAGTGGGATCGTAGTGGGCCTTCCAGTCGAACCGATCCTCGGGAATGGTGCGATGTACATCTCGACCCGCCAGAAGCATCTCCCAGAATTCTTCATTGGAGCCAGATTCTGGGAAGCGTCCAGAGAACCCAATAATAGCAATGCTTGAATGAGAAAATTTGCCAGTTGGGCTTGAGAGAGCAGATGATACAGCGACATCTCCTATGGATTGCACGATTTTGACTCCGAGAAATGCTTCTTGTGATAAAGCTGAGCTGATGAGCGATCCGCTTCGCGTTGAGACTTGGTTGATCACACATTCTGTCAACTGGCACTGCTTCAACTCCTGAGAAAGAGATGTGGCAATGCAATTCCACTGGAGAGGCTCACAGAGGGCTTCCTGGACTGCTCGATGCAGCAGACTGCGCAGGTCAGACGCTACAAAAACTTCGCCAGAAACGGCGCAAATAACTTTGGTCCGTTGCGTGTACTTCAGCAGTGAGAAGTCGTGGAACTCGCCCACAATAATCTCTGCATCGTCCTTCCGGAAGAGATGCGACGCGTGGTACGGCAGCTCAATAGGAAGTAATGAGTGCTTCCAGGCACATGTTAGAAGGAACTGGTCCAGAAGGCGTGGAGGCCCACTAATCGAAACATTCGTTCGACTGATTGAGCTGAGGTATAGACGAGCTACAGGAGGCAACCCCTGTGACTATCAGCTTCTGATTTCCTGGGTTGTGGATTTGACACACCTTCTCAACGTTGAAGCACCGGATTGCACTCGCTGCTTCTGGCTCACAGGCTCCTACAATTGCGGACCATGATTTCTGAGATCCATCTATAGTAAATTCAAGGTCATCTCGCAGGATCAGCGATCGCAACGCTGTCCGGAACGCAACGGTGACGGCTTCAACCGCAGCAGGGACAAGCTCTGCTAAGGTTTGGGAAGTTGCAACTGCAGCAGCAGCAAATGCCCCCGTGCAAGCCCCAATTAGAAAGGTACTCTCTGGTGCAGGGTATGTCCTTCCTGCCTGTCCATAATGCCTACATAAAGTTCAAAATCATGCATTGATGAGCGTGTGGAAACAGACCTTAATGGCTCACCTAATAAATTGGCCAAGCTCCGCCGCACATAGCAGGGGCAACTTTAATGCTGGAGCCGCATGGCAGTTTTCGTGCTGGGCCAGGAGGTCAATGAGGGTAGTAAAGTAAGGGAACCACTCTTGCTGATGCAAGGGGAGATTCCCGACATGTCGCCGCAACTGGTACCCAACGCGATCAAAGAAGTCGGTGAGAACTGCATTGTCCTTCACATGCAGCAACGAGTGCAGCGTCGACTCGAATGCCACCGTTTGGTCACCGAAAATGAATACTTCGGCGACTGTTCCCATCTTGCTCATGGCTGAAGTGTCGGTTTTTGTGCTCGATTCTTCCAGCATTGTCCTAACGACCATGTTCATAAGGGTGAAAGTTTGTTTCTGTCAGAAGATGTGAGATTCTTCTTTCCATGAGCTGACAGACATCTGGAGGAGCAATGTATTCATAATGTTTGAAAGGCTGTTCACTTGGAATTAGGGAGTTGGTATCCTAGCATAACACGAGGCGACAGGGGTTTATTCCCGAGTACTGCTGACACGCTAAATAATAGTGGGCTAGAATAGTCTATACCCTGGCAGTTAGTGCCAACTAACAATCGAATGATGTCCGAACATGTACTTTCAACTCGGTCTTGGCCCACGACCTTTACTTGAGGGGCGTCGCTGACGCCGCAGATACGGGTCGATTCTCGGAGAGTTCTGGAGAAAAGCGAACCTAGCGCGCATTCCCGTTATGCCATGGCTACACTTAGAGAGGTTGGATAATACCGATGTACAAGTGTTGTACAGATGGAGAATCATGCAATAAACATGTTCCATAGCTGCATTGTCACACTTATTTGATCAGTCGCCACATGCAACATATGATGTAGGGACAAGCACGAAGATCACGATATCATACTTTCTTGGGCAGACTACGATACTACCACTATAAGTGGTAGGAGTCCAAGAAGAAAATCAAAAAATACTTGATATCCCATCTAGTCTACAGCCAACCACAGTCTACATGAGAGGACTCCAGCTGCCCGATTTTAAATACTGGCTGTAGCACTTTGCTTGACCATTCGCCACTATTACTCTTCATGAGATGCCTCTAGACTATCTTCCCATCAACAATATGGCACTCCACCCAGCCAGTCACAAACTGAGTTCTGTTAGAGTCGGCAAAATTCTCATGATCGGGAAAAATGACTTCCTTGTAGTAGGGGTCATTCCGAGCGCGGACATAATCCTCCACATCACGAAAGATAATCTGGGCCAAGCAGTCGCAATCAGAGGTATGGCCCTCTGGAAGGTTTCCAAAGATATGCTTCATCATTTCTTTTGTCTCGGACGTGTTGTGCGTCTAGCAGCGTCAGCAGCTTCTCGCACTCATAGTTTCTTAGCCAACCTACCAGAGTGTATCTGACAATACCCATCTTCACGAGATGGTTTCTCACCAAAACAGCATGATGATCACTTAGATAACGATGATACTCATCTTCAGGCATACCTGGCTTGCGGTAGCCGTAAATTGTCAAAGCGTAGAGGAGTTCAGAGGCCATCATTAAACACAGTATCGATGAATTGCGGTAGGAGGAATGGCACAAAGCGTTGGAGTTACATTTCAGCAAACGTGAGCATCTCCAGCTTAAGGGCATTCCACCAAGAGTCGGAAGATAAAATTCGGTCTCCGAGGCAATTCCACATGCTTCCGCGGAGCACAATACACGACATGTGGAGCTGGAGAAGTTAAAATTCGGTGTCCGGAACGCTTAGTGACTCCGATGCGGAATACACAGTTCGGGGAATACAGATGCCATGATGTCGGAATCTCCGTCAGATGATCGGATCTCGTACAGATCTGTCAGACTTCTTGCCGCCACTGAGATTGACCAGAACAATCCCTGTCAATTAGTTTTAACAGCACCAGGCTAATGGATGTCTTCCCATAGAAAGGCTGTCAGCCTTACGGGCTAGCTCGGGTATCACGACACATGCCCTGTGGGTGCCCAGGTTCCCATATCTGGGAATGGCGCACGTGGCTGTGCTGATATATCCCCGTCTTTTTGTTGTCGAATGTTACCATCGGAGGCGTAATACCATGGCTATCATATATTGCTTTTTTAAAGTGACCAAGTCGGTTAGATAACAGTGCAAACATGTCCTGGGCGACTGGATTTTGGCCCTAAGCAGGTCATGTACATGGAGGCAGTCGACTAACGCTTACTTTCGGATGCTCACACCTGCAATGGGGTTTGATTCAGAAAGTCTACTGTATGTCTGATAAGTTTGTAGTGTGCTTAGTAATGTCAGCTCAGTGTGGTACTCCGCAATTGCATGATATAAAATGTAACGACTGCGCCATTGTGTCGTACTAGATCCAATAGTGCCCCAATAGCAAGCCAGGATTTTGCAGCACGACGTAAACAGCCTCATTATCAATCGTAGTACTGATAAATATAACTCGCACAACAGATGCATGTGCATCGCTTACCACACTCAATTAGCTACAATATCCTTTGGTTGCATCTTCTCATGTCCATCGACAGACCCACGATCATGCCCACTCATAGGCCGGAAACCTTGTCGGAAAACAGGACTTTCACGGACTTGTTCCCAATCATGCAGCATATACCCGTTTTCTACTGAGCACTTGACTTCTTCGTGGCCGCGGGGAATCATCTCTGCTTCGTACGCAGTGATTGCCTCCTGCAGAGTAGCAGTCCCAGCCACTACCTTCTGAATGCCAGCCAAAAGATGAGATGTATCACATATGCAGTGATTGAGACCCTGTCCTCTGTCTAATTATCCGAATCATACCATCATTAGTACATCACTATGTTCAGTTACTGTAGGGTTAACTTACACGGCGGCATCGGATGCGCCGCATCCCCAACCAACGTCAATCTTCCCTGTCGATTATCCCAAGGCTGAGTAACCCAGTAGCTGATATCAGCTTTATGGACCTGCGTATCATCTGGGATCCAAGTAAACGAGGACCGAGCTGGCTCAGCGAGACTCTGGGCTTTCTCGCGGATCATGTCCAATCTTTCGCGGTAAGTTGCAGGTTGACCGTGGTCCATGAACCAGGCCATAGCCAAATGAAATATCCAAGATTCAGGGTGGTCGGGACCATCAGGCATGCTCGAGACTACACAATCAGTAACCCACCCAAAGTGACGAAACAAGATATGGATACCTACTAGATTGGAATGCATGATACGACCTATCACTCAAAGCCAGATAACTCGTCGGAAAACGCTGCCTCACATATCTAGCTTTCTCGGCATCGTTGTAGGTAACGGTCATGTTAGTATGAAAAATAGGAAAGCGGCTAACAGCCGCCTTTTCGGCCGAACCCATGGCAAACTCACGGACCTTCGAGCGAGGCCCATCCGCACCGATGAGGATAGTTCCAGCAACCATGGAACCATCATCAAACAATGCAACTACTCCTTTATGGCTTTCAGTGAACGCCACATCGATCAGATTCTTTCCATACTGGACGTCAATCCCCTTGCTACACAGATCCCGCATCTTACTGCGCGGAACCCGCAGTCCTTTGGCATACGGCACACCGGCAATCAAGTGGCCAGTTTCTCCGTGGATGATGGGATAGTTTCCGCCCGCGTTCAGGGCAACGTCTGGGTTGCACGAGACGGATTCCATGTGCGCAAAACGGTCGGCGGGGAGAAGGTCGCGCAGACGGTCGAGAGACCAGTGAATAGCCATCGTCCATTCATTGCTGCGATAGTTCATGGACACTTCCTTTTCGAAGATGGAGTAGCGGATGCCGGCCTGCGGCACGTTAGACGGTTACTGTTACCCAGGGAGGGGTATTTGGCGAAATCATGGCGGCGTGGGGGTCAAGTCTACCTTCTTGAGAGATTGTGCGAGGATAAGGCCTGTGATACCTGCGCCGATGATAAGGACGTGTGTGTCCTCTGAGCTGGGGACGGTCATGTTGGATGTGAGTCTGTGTGCAGTGGTAGGATGGTTCAGTGATGAATGTGGCAGAGGGGAAGGAGCGGGGTGGTATAGGAGTACCACCAGGCAAGGGTTTATTATTGTATCTCATCTAAGTTTGGGTTTTATCACCTGATTCAGCCACATGCCATAGTCCATGCTTTCTGCTTGTGCATCGAAAGTAACAACATTTGCTGTATACGGGAACTTGCTGGCGATATACCAGCCAGGGTTACTGTACGACGGAGGCCATGTCCATCCATACTTCAGCAAGCCGACAAACTGCATACTGACGCGGCATTGTCCCTTGTTACGAGATGACCGATGACTGGGTGTTTTCTTTTCCAGTTATCTAGATATACTTTTGGCTTCGAATTTGGGATAAGATAAAGTTTCTCTGAAATGGACATTCTATTCGTCAGTCAAACATATCACTTGTCCTTATGACTTGTTTCAGAGAGCAATATTGTAGTAACATCACATGAGGTAAATTGCCGTTAAGTTGGCTTGATTAGCTAGTGGTGTTCGTGAAGTAGTCCCTCCTGTATTTGCCTGGTTTTTTGTACGTCCGATCTAGTAACAGTCTAGATCTTTGGAGGCGTCACCCCCTTGCGCCTATACTCATACTCTGATTAACGCCCCACTCGCATTCCATGGCCTGATGGCAGTTTAAAATGCAATGCTGACTAGTTATCAGGTCTCACAGAGTCTCGAGGTCCGATTGCACAGCTGACTACATCCACTTCGGGACTTGCTTTTGCTGGAAGAGGAGGAGACGAACTCCACGAGTTACTCAATTGGGCTGTTTCAGAATCTCGCCGATACACATGTCTTTCTAGCCCTCAATACACTAACACCATGTTTCCAAACATTCAGCAGAATGGCATTGATTCAGGTTGTCAGTTTATGTCCTATGTTTGGTCTTAGTGCAGCTGCCCTTACATCGGTAAGTCTTCGAGCTCGAGGCGGCTTGTACTAACGTCAACAGCTGCTCGCATGCATCATTCTCTACGTATGCTACAATGTGTTTTTGCATCCACTAAGACGGTATCCGGGCCCCTGGCTATGGGCTGCCACGCGGCTACCATGGTGCTGGTACCAGGCTCAAGGCCGACTAAACCACAAGCTGCTCGAATTGCATCTACGATACGGTCACACCGTAAGAGTAGCTCCGAACGAACTATCCTATAACTCGGAGGAAGCATGGAGAGCTATCTATGGACCGCGATCGGATGAGATGGGCAAAGATCCCGTCTTTTCGCTGCGAACGCCAACTGGCGTACAAAGTATACTTCCGGTTTAAGGACTGCCTCGGTCGAAACTGACAAAGAACAGATATCCTGACGGCAGATAGACAAACACATACGAGACAGCGACGGCTTCTATCGCATGCTTTTTCAGAAAAAGCATTACGTGAGCAAGAAGGCATCATCCAGGGTTATGTAGACCAGCTCATGAGACAACTAGCCGCTCGAGCAAACGATGGCCCGCAGAACATGGTAGACTGGTTCACTTTCATTGGTATGTTGGCCGCTGTCAGGACTAAATACAGCTATACTTAAATTAATAGCATATGATCTCATTCGAGACCTTTCCTTCGGCGAAAGGTTCCATTGTCTGAACACTGCGGAATACGACACCTTCGTAAGATCTATCCGTGCGATCTCCAAAGAACTGACTTTCATCCAAATGTTCGCGTACTACAATCTACTGCCTTTTCGACAGCTATTCATGCCCAAGTCCATTGCGGGTGCACGGGCACAGAACATGCAGCGGGTTATTGAAACTGTCAATCGTCGCGTAGCTCGAAACACCGACCGCAAGGACTTTCTGCACTACATCCTCGCTACGATGGAGACGGAAAAAGGGATGTCACGGGCAGAGATGAATGTCAATGCTTTTTCCTTCAGCATAGCTGGGTCAGAGTCGTCGGCGACAGCATTAAGCGCGTTCACATACTACATTCTATCGCATATGAGTGTGTACGACCGACTCATTGCTGAGATCCGTGGCGCGTTCGAGAAGTACGAGCAGATAGATATCTCTTCTGTTACCCAGCTGCCATATCTAAACGCCGTTTTGCAGGAGACGCTGCGTATCTACCCTCCTGTAGCTGTGACTCTACCCAGAGTGGTCCCAGCCAACGGCGCAGTTATTGACGGTAAATTTGTACCCGCTGGAGTGACAGTGGGAGTCAATCACTTTGCATGCTACCACGACCCACGCAACTTCTACCGTCCACAGGAGTTCCTACCTGAGCGGTGGTTACCACATTGTCAGGAGAAGGAGCCTTTTTCCATTGATCGCCCGAAAAGCTGTCAACCTTTTTCTTTTGGGCCAAGAAACTGCCTTGGTAAGAACCTAGCGTGGGCAGAAATGCGACTAATCGCGGCGAAACTGCTGTTTCTATTTGATATGGAGCTGGTTGGAACAGGAAAGGGTTGGGCTGATGGACAGAAGGTCTTTGGGTTCTGGGTGAGACCGCCGTTGCTAGTGAGATTGGTACCGAGGGCTGGCCAACGATGATGTGTGAGACAAAAATCATATCGCAGATGAAGCCCCGGGGGTGAAGATGAGATAAGATGGAAACGTTTGGTCCAGTATTTCTCTCTGCAGCTGCTAATGCCACTTAAATCCCTTGCCTCACAGCTCACGCCAACCACAAATTATCGTTAGTGGAATTCCAACGCTAATGTTCGATAACTTAAACGCTAATTTACATGCCGGGTCTGCTAAACGGTCTGCATTCCATCCCTTGATAACAACATGTGCGTACGCTTAGGCCACCCGTGATGACTTCTCTACGCAAACCTATCAATACTATTGCTATTCACCCTTTTTTCTCCTCGGCTAAGAAATTCACGAACTTCTCCCCCTCAGTCTCAGTCTCAGCCACAGCTACACTCTCATTCCTCATCCCCTCTATCTCCAACCTTTCCACCTCCTCCTTACTTACCGGCACAGTCGCAAACCTTCTCAACGCGGCCTTGTTGATTTCCGGCGTAAGCACCGTCCCCTCGCCAATCAAGTATTCAAGGTACTCGAAGTACCTCACGAAGAATCCCGGTGTAGCTGTGTTCATAAAGACAGCTTCTTCGTCGAAAGGGTTACTGAATCGATGAGGCAGACGAATAGGGACGATGATCAGGTCGCCGGCTTTGGCATCAACGTCGGCACGGCCGGGGCTGTGGAAGCGAACAGTCCCTTTCTGCATGCCGTTCATTATCAGCAGACCTCCTTTCTAAGAAAGGGGAAATATCATGGTAGAGAGATAATCACCGTAACATAAAACCCCTCATCATGCATCTCATGGAAATGGAACACGGGACCCTCGCTGTGGGGCGGAAGGAGACTTTCGATTGCAGTGAGACGATATTGAGTGTGCGTCCCGTCTTCCATAACGCGGTAGAGGTCTTTCCTCGTTAGTGTGACATCTGAGCACAGGTAAGGAAGTATGCAGGAAAGCGGCAGTACATTGTCCCAGTCGACGCCATGGCGTCCTTTCCGGCTGGTAGTGATGGATGGACAGATTCTTTGTGTAGGATAAGTCGACGTGGTCCATGATCTTGGTTGTTACAGGGAAGCTAGCTAGGTTATCTCTACGGGAAGTAGCATTGGTAGTAGGAGGTATATAATCGCTCAGTTGAGTAGGTCGGAACCCGACGAAGAGTACACTGGCTTGGCGCTGGGTTTCCATGATAGTTCGGGAGCTGACATGGTTTGCTTTCCGGCTGGTTGTGAAACATCGTTTTGCAAAACAACGGATCAGATTGTTATTTGTACGTTGCTGTCGGTGGTTATCGGCATAAGTATTGGCGGATGCTGCGCTTGCGCAAGTGGTGGCCTAGGAGTGGTCTTCCCAGTATCAACCTTGAGTGTGTGCGAAGCGGCTTTTGGCCATCAGGCCGTGTCGGGGTGATCAGTTGGGAAAGAGAAATAGCCTCGCTGTACCAGCTGTTACAAGCTGTGCCTTGTTTGACAGCTGAGTAGAGAACTGTGAAATTAAGAGTGAGCCCATCCATAGTATGTGCTATGTGTTCCTCCTTGTGACCTACACGATCCTAATGCCAATTTACCACCCAATGTAGACTTTTTTCCTATCATATATGCTAATTTCATCACCATCATCATCATCATCATTCATCGACAAAGCTAATCTCCCACAGCCCCTTATAGACATGCGAACTTCTCCCAAGTGTAGACTCCACCCGTACACTCGGGGTAGCTTGCTTGAACACCCCTACCCACTCCTCATGCGTCCTCTGCTTCACGTTATGCATACTCATAGTCGTAATATCCCTCCGTCGATACGCAATCTCCTCATGTAGTGGGAACTGCCCTGACACGGGAGACACACCATCCGTAACCAAGATACGGGTAGATGCGCCCATTCCTTGTTTGATAGCTCTCATCAATCTCACAACATCTGTATCAGACCAATTCCACAACAAATTCCTAATAACGTATAGCCATACCGTATGTGTATCGCACGTGGGGGGTGATTCGAAAACTGACTGGCAATGCTTGAAGGATATGCGTTCCAGACAAGAAGATGGGACTTGTGCGCTGCCGCGGTCGAGGAAGTCTTGAGAGTCGGAGCGGACTTCGAATGAGAGTTCTGGGTGTTTCTGTACGAGGGAGACAGAGGCGAAGCCATAGCGGCCTCCGATCTCGACGATTTTGGTCTTGTTGGTGGGCGTGTGCTGTTGGATATAGCCCTCGATTAGGGAATCCGCAGGATCAAGGGCTAGCATATCCATTTGTTCAGTATATCCTTATACAGGGACAGACTAAGGTACTAACCACGCGAAACACCCCTCATAGCACGACGGAATCGTTCTCCCTTGTCAGGATGGCAAGCGTGCCAGTCATACATTTCCATGCCGAATCTATCATATCAGCACAAATCGATCACACAATTCGATGGGTCTAACCCACCCCTTTTTAAACGCCGACACCCCATCGGCATACCCATTCGGCTTCCGCGCCAAAGCATCCGCCAAATGCGCACTCGCAATACGCGTCTCGAATAATCTATTTCATAAGCACTCACGCCTTCTAGCTCGCAGGTAATACGTACTGGAACTCCAAACACGCCCTTGAATCCCTGTCTCTGAACAGTTCTTCCGATACCGCAGTCAACGTATAGACACCTTTTTCGGGCTCATCAACGATGTGCCGACACCGAAGTAGCCCAAGGATCCGAACAAGCTTGTCTGCTGGGATACCAGATTGAGATTCGAGATCTTCAATAGAAGCGCGCCCCGAACTCGCTATATACTCGAGGGTCTGCGAGTGGAGGAATGCATATAGCGCCCCGTGGTCCCAGTGCGAGGCGACGAACTCATGTAGGAACTCTTGTGGACCCTGGATGAGCACGGTTAGTTCCTCTAGCAAACCGATAGCTATAGATCGTGTAGCTTCTATCTCAGAATTAGACCAGAAGGAACTTCTGGTGTCTGCGGAGAGTGACGGAGGGGCAATATCAGCTTCATTGCACGTTTGTTCAAGCTGGGTGCAGAGTGCGAGGATCTGACTAGCTAGTTCTCGAATAGTTGAAGACATTTTTCCGGCTGCTAAATTAGCTTTCAGGAAGCACTTGATCCTGGTCGATGCCAAGGAGGGGTGGTTGTCGTTATAAATGATCCTACTGTGTATACGAGCGAGTACATTCCGATGCGGCGTCCGGAATCCGAGCAAATTACATCTGTCAGCACACAGCTACCCCATAGCTGCCATGAACACAATATCAATATTACAATAAAGGCAAAACTCAGTCGTTCGATTAATTCTCCCAAGTGACACCATCTCCCTAGACCCTCAAAGCGGAAATACTAACATCTCACCTCCCCCTCGAATCCCTACATCAAAAGAACGACCCAACCAACCCCTCAACCCTGTCATAAAACTCCCCCTTATCGACTCCCCTCAACGCCCTCCTCACAATAAGCGGAACCTCATCCCTACCCACACCCAACTCCTCCAAGGACCTAACCCCCAAACCCAAAGTCTCGACCAACGCCACAATCCTCTCCCCGACAACCCTTGCGTCGACCTCATCATCACCCGTCCTCACGCCCCCTACCGCATCCACCAACCTTGCAATCTCCCTCCCCTTCCCCTCACCCACCATAAATCCGACCACTTTCCCAAGCGTAACACAACTCGTGATCCCATGCGGAATCCCATACGGACTCCCCAGCGCATATCCCAGCGAATGTGATAATCCCATCCCAGCGCCCAGATCCTCACCTTTAAGTCCCGAACTAGCAAATGAAGCTAGCATTAGCCTAACAGTTGTGGCGTCGTCGCTCATATCACCGTCTTTCTTCGCCTTGGGCAAGCACTCGAAAAACTCCCTCACTGCGTATATAGCAAGGATCTTCCACGGCACTTCACTGGCACTGGGATGATACATCGCCTCGACGGCATGATCTAGGGCTCTGATTCCCGTGCTGAGCCAGAGACCCAACGGGGTGTACTTTGTATACACCGGGTCGTAGAAAATAGCATGTAATGCCATTTTGGCATCTCGAATGCCGGTTTTAGTTCCATCGGGTTGCGTGGTGCTTCCGGCGGGGGTGGTTTCAGCGGCGCTGAGGGTCGTGGGGATGGCGAGGTGGGTTAGGGTTATATTGGTGGCTTGGTAGAATTTGAGGGCAAGGATTTTAGCGGCGTCGATGGGGGAGCCGCCGCCTAGGGATATGAGGGTGTCGATTGTGGGATCTTCAGCGTGGAGGGTTAATATAATGTTGATGGTATCGTCTATGACGTGGGAGGGAGTGTGTTGGGCTATGGAGGAGATGGTGGCTGCGTGGTGGATGGATAAGAGGGTTTGGAGGCGCTGAACGAGTGGAGATCGGGTAGCTAGCGTCGTGCCGGTGATGATGATGGCTTTGGATGTAGATTTTGGGAGGGTATCGAGGAGGTGTTGGGAGACGCAGTCGGGGCCGTAGTAGAGGTGCTGGAGGTGAGGATTGGGTTGCCAGTGGCCGGAGAAGGGGTGAGGTTGAGACATGACGGTGGTGAATTCTGTAGATGGAGTTCTAAATTGTGCGCGTATTCTGCTCGGATCTCGAATTAAAACATGGCCAAGTGAGCTGAAACTTATGACTGTGTATTAAGGGCAGAGGAGTCCCCTAATCCTCTTGAACTATGCTAATGCTGGGAGAAATAGAATGTCAGCAATAATCGATACGCTGTGACATTCGGCAAGGTTCTGAGGCTTTCACGGTCTTATAGACTATTCTACTAGTACTTCTATCCCTCTATATAGATATCCTTAACGATGGGGTAATGAGTGGCTCTGCCGCCGATGCATTGCCTCCCCATAACTTATGGAAAACACAGTCAGGGTTCGCCGGATTTCGGGTACCGAGGTGTGCCCCGGACCCCGGAGACACAGTGTAACAGACACCACAAGATTCCCTATGATGGAAGAAGGAAGGTTGAGAGGAATTCAGGATAATTAATAGGGCCAAGTGCCAAGTGCCAACTGATCTTGGTGAGCATTCAATTCTGACGAGTGGTTTGTCGCACACGATTTACCGATTTCCACTTAGTCGGCTTTTGAAAGACATCATATTGTGCTACGTACTGGCACACAGTTAATCATTTTAGTCAGCTATCCTCCATCAGGGGAAACAGAGTTATGATTGCAGTCTAGCCGAATCTATATATGCGTAGACGATGCCTAGCCATGTCAGTTATGCTGAGCTGTCACTGCAAATCGTCATCGCCCACCAGCCTCAGACAAGCGCCTGGAAGTACCTCCGCTCCGAGGACAAGCGGCAAGCACAATCTACAGGCATCACCTTACAGTGCATCCCTATCTTCAGCACCACCTACATGCTCATAATGTGAATTTGTCAGTGCCAGAGGCGGCCTCCCGCTGGCTGTTGGCCACGTCATCAACCCTTCGCCGTCCAGGGCCGGGGTTCCAGCGTTCCATGTCCCGAGCGGTGTCGCAGGTCCAAGGGAAGGCAGTGCCAGCGATGATGCACCGCTGAGCCAATTCTCCCAATTCAAAGGGGCGGTTGATTGCTGAGCCACCGGCCAGTATGGGGGACTGGGGAGGTCATTGTGAGCAGGGGTCCGAGGTGAATCAATAAAATGACAGCCCAAACGTGCGTCCACAACAACGCGAACCAAGGACAACAATTGTGAAAATACCCATGCTATCTTTTGGTGGTAGGTATTTGCCGGCATTTGACTAGCATGATCGGTATAGCAAGCTGACACCCGCCGCAGCAAATCCAAGTCGGATATCATGCCAGCTGGAGTTTCACGCGGGCACGACATGAGAAGATCTTGTAATAGAATGAAAAAGGCGGGAACAGAGAACGCGTCTAACACCTTCGTGAATGACACTTTAGGGAAACAATGAGACTGGTGGTTGCTATTTGGTGTGGTTTTTTCACCCGTTAATAAAGCGTTGAAGCAGTATGAAATCGCCGGATTCTGGTCCCCGTGAGCTATCAGCAAAAGCAAACAGCTCAACCGCGCATCGTGCTGAATCTGTCGCGTGTGATATGATTCCTGTCCATGTTGAAACGCCATGATTCGCGTTGCCAAGAACTCCATCGTATCTATAGCATGGGATCCACAGCATTCTGACGGAACGTTTTGGCCGTGGAATAAATACAATGTTCGACCATACTCATCAAGCTGCTTTTCAATGCGCATCAGCAGTTCTTGGCTGTCATGTGCTTTCGCGGAAATCGAGGCGACTTGAGCCAGTCGGTGTATGTCTTCCTGCACCATGGCCAGATGGAGCCGGGTTGAGTGCTTCCCTAACTCATTACTAGTTGCACACAACTGAGTAGCGATGCTATATTCGTCGCAGGGTATCCAAAGCACTGACCCACGAAGCGTATACAAACTTCTATCACGGACGTACAATGCTCGAAGTACCTTGCCTCGTTCGACCTGTTCAATGTCGCCGTGGTCTGAAGCTTGGCTGCAATTCAAACGTAAGATTCGCGCCAGTGTGCACGCATGGGCGAATATCAACTCTGCCGATCCAGAATAGTCGAAAGCTTGTGCCGCAACACTCTACATATTCAATGTCAGTTCTGCACACCAGAAGGTCCTAAGTCTACTACCATACGAGGAGAAGCAAAGCCTGCACGTTTATGAGTTTAGGCGTATTTAGCAGACCGGGGCAAACCACTATCGCCCGGCTGGGTACAAAGGAATGCGCAAAGTTCTTAAGCAATCCCTGCGTAGCTTGGAATGTGATCCGGGCCAGCAGGGTAATGGTCTGGAAGCATATGCCCCACGCGGCATCATCGGGCTGCGGCTGATGCTGCGAGTGCAGGCGCTGGAGGTTGGCTCTTAGATTGTCCGGTACGAAGACATCGGTCTGGCAGTCCAGGTTCTGGAGGAAACGATCTATGGCGGCGGTAGCTTGCTGCCTAGGCAGCAGTGGAACGACGAGCCGGTCACTGTACGATGGGATAGGTTCGGATACTTTTGTGATCTTGCAGAAATGCTGCAACATTTCGCAGAGCGGTCGCAATATAGGCCCTGTTGCGTGGGGTACCGACTGAACCCTTACCTTGAGGTTTTTGCACAGAACAGTAACGCATGAGCGTCCAAAGTAATATTCTGACTGTTTAGGGGCAAGTATCCCGGAAACCTCCTCCTTGTGCTCCTCTTCATCGTCAATATCAACGCAACTACTTGTTGCAGATACACCCTGTAGCAAGGTTCTTGATTGTGATGATTCGTGGTCCTCTTCAAACCCCGGAGTCCGGGGGCCAAGACCTTGGAGTCGACTAAGGTGAGACTCGATTATCGTCAATCGATCCTGCAGTCGTTCAATGCTACCGCATCTATAGCATGATTAGCGATCGATGTCTTTGCTAGCCAGAGAGATTCACTGACAATAACTTGAGGTGATTTACGCGTTTTGCAGGAATCCGATACAGGCAAATCACACCGCCCTCTCTCTCGCAGTTATGACAATGAGGCCGTTCCCGGCCGCAGCGTATCTTGCGCTCTCGGCATCTGGTACACGCCAAGTCTGGCATGGCATCTTCACCGCGGTTCTGGGATATCGCCGTTAGTGCATAGTAGGACGATGTCAGTAAGGTGAGTGTCATACTTTCTTGTGCTTCATGAGTGTTTCAGCTAGGTTGCGCTTTTCCGTCAAACTTCGATGTCCCTGTCCCGGAAATTCTTCCACCTTCCGAGCCACCAACGATGTGTGCACCAAAAGAGCGAAAATATTCCAGCTTGTAGAATGTGCATGACAAAGGTCAATGAGGCTACACTATTATACTCCATCGTACCGAGTCTTGCCATCAGCAGATTGGCCAGGACATTCGATAACTCTGACAAGGGAGGTTACACTTGACACACCCTCTGTCTTATTGAGTGGCAGAAGCGGTAGCTTCTTCTTGGCTTTCGCCTGGGGTTCGATTGGTAGACCAATATATGGTTCCCATTTATCACCGGATTCCTATGGCTTCACATCCTTTTTTGGGGTTGTAGGGTCCACTCAAATAACAGGCGCTAGTTTCTCAGAAGTGACTGAGCCAAAGGGAGGGGTAGTGATAAGGTGACGTAGGCCAACGACGACATGGATTTAAAATCAGACTGTGGTGATTCCAAGTGCATGATTGTGTCGTTGCTTCTCGTAATAGCTAGAACTTCAGGCCTGTGATCCTATTTGGAAGGCCAGGAAACAGGCGAATGCCTGTGCTCCATTGAGTGAACACAAATAGCAATGACATATGAGGGGTGTTGCAATTTCCGTCAGCAGATGGCCCCTGTCACTGCAGCATGCCTCGGAAGGCAGCAGCTACAAATTTACTACGCCCTTATCCGAGACTCCTCTTCGCAGCACCGCCATGGATTCGCTGGATGGAGGTGCAGCATTGTCTGTCAACTCTTGATTACCGCTGAGTCAGCGGCATACGGGCAGCTCAGCCAGCCATCCCGATGTCAAGGATGGATGCGCTTGCTGTCTCAATGCCATACGACACCATTTAACCTTTCTCCGTGTCATGGTGGCGGTCGGGATGCCGGTATAGTATACCGAATGGTTTTACTCGAACAGTTCTACTTAGCGATGACTTGTCGGGTATGACCAACAGTATCAGATCGGTGAACACGCAATCTACTCTTGCAATCAGATCGACTTGTGGAAATTCTGATAACTGAGTCGTACATCTTTCGGTCGTCCAGCTTATAGTGCATGCTTTACTTGCAGTCAACATTCAATCCCAGGGGTTTTGGTTGCTAGCCAATGTCTAATGCACGAGAACCGATGCGTTCACCAAAGAAGACCAATTCCTTGACATAAATCTGGTACATTCCCGGTTCACTAGTTCGACGTGCGCCTTAAGTCCCTCAACGAGGACGAAGAACATATGCCATTGGTCTTGACCCAGGGTCAATCTCCGACAAATCCGATTCCGTCCGGATTAGAATAGGCCGGTGGTTGCTGAGAATCAGGCTGACATCTGTGTAACAAGACTATCTAATCGCGGAAGAACGGTGATGGTTAGCTCTCAGCTCCCGGACCTCATCTCTAGGACCTTCGTAATCCTGCTCGGGCTGACGTCTCAGGTGCTCTGCGGGAATTTTAGCTGCAAGAGGCCGCAAATAGGCTACACACGCGGTCTCGAGCGCTGCTAATGATGTTGTGAACTGGGTATGTAGGAAGTAAATACCATACATGGTTCAACTAACATATTTCAAGTACCCGATTATATGTTGCTGTTCCAGCCTGCAGAAACGGTGCTTTTTGTGCAATGCTGAATAACTCCCTGTAACTCGCTGGCTAATGGTGGCGCGACAGATTGGCCATACCTGTTGGGGATATTTTCTCTCGTAGTAGATCTGAATTCGAGATATCCATAGCAATTGTGAGCATAGAAACCGTCTTGTGAGTTTATGCTGAGGAATTAAATTCCTTATTCCCGATGTAATAAATATATTTTTCAAGCCCCAATAGGAGCAAGACTGCTTTCACAAAGCAGTGGGTTTGAACAATTATCATTGTAGTTCTCAGGTCAAACATATACTATAGTAACGTGTTAAGCAAATACATATGAAACTCAGTTTGAATATGATGACGATGGGGTGGGTAAATAAAGTACACTACTATGGAGGGAAGGCGAGGAAGTTATTTGAAACGATGCGATCGGGAGCCACGTGACAACAACCTAACTTAGCCTTATCAGGGCAGATAAAGACAAAAACTAACAAGTAATCCGATATGGTGTAGTGGCTAACATCGCCGTCTCTCACACGGCAGCCGGGGGTTCGATTCCCCCTATCGGAGCTCAACATTTCTTTTTGGTTTTTTTTTTCTCGCTCACCCGCTGATGATATGATGCACGCCCATTCCAACTTTTCATTTCATTTTCTTTTGGTAACTTACGCGGTAGATTCACAGCTACCATTGCAACAGGATAGCAATCCCATGAGACCACAGGGAATCCGCATCGATAGACTCCATCCTGACTTCTACCATTACAAGCAGTATAACTTCCGACTACTGTTGCCCCATCAGGAATTTTCAATGTTCATTATCGACGATATTGATGCCTATCTGGTGATGAAGCACCATCAACTTGGTCACTTATATCTCTACGGCCTTCACCAATTCTCCCCCGCCAAACAAAACTCGGCCGTAACTCTCCATCTACCTCAACCACTAAGTGTTGATGCTAATCGTGTACGGCGCAACCGTGAACCAAGCATCAGAGCCCGTCTTCGGTTCCGTACCCGCACCCAAAGTCTGTAGATACAAGCTTGTCGAGACCCCCTCATTATCAACTAGATAAGTAAAGAACTCCATAAGATCCGCCGAGAAGTCCGTGATAGTCTCGCGGGCCACGAAACTATACACTGTCCAGTCGTTGGGTCCCTCGTAGAGATCCCAGGTGTAGCCACCGATAGTGGGACTGGCGATAGGACCGTCCGAGTTTCCAATGGGCTCGATGCCTCCGTAGGCGGCGAGCCAGATCATGATTTCATACTCGTGGGTGGCCGTTGTGGAATCCGTGGTGGCCAGGAAAGCATCGTAGGAGACGTCAGCGACGAGGTCGTCGCCGGTGTAGCTGGAAATCATCATTAGACAGTAGCTTAATTGGCGGTAGGGGAGATTGGCTCACCTCCACTTCCAGGTAGAAGGAATCGTAGTGATCGTGCTCAGCTGCTTGGCACCGACATTCAAGACGGCATTGGGATAGCTCTTGACGTAGTCATCACCGCCGGCCCAGGTCCACGACGTCTGCCACGAGATGGAGTTGCCGCTGTCATAGTCGAGGTAGGTACACTCCGAGCCAGAAGTAGCGTAGTCCTCACCCCAGAGATTGTTGTAGAGGATGAAGTCGTCGGTGGTGATGATGTTGTTCTGGGTGCAGATGGTGGCAATGGGGTCGCGGGCCGCCAGACCCGCTAGCGCAGGAACAGCGCTCGCCAAGCACAGGGGGATAGACAGGTACCGGTTCATGATGATAAAGGTTCAGTGAACTGGTAGAGATTCTGTGTGAGGAATTGTCAACCGGGACGGTTACCTACCTGGTTTTATTTCCTCGATTTGTTGATTAAGGGGGAACTAGGTTTCGCCCCCAACATGACTGACTGGGAATTGGATCATTCTCTTCAGCACAATCCTGCTAAATTGTTCATCTTATGCCGCGTTGCGGTCGCAGTCGAGTGGCTTAGCGGGTGGCCTACTCTGACAACAGCTTAGCGGGGCCATATCGGGCATGCTTTACGGCGATCGATCGATCCTTGTCGGAGAATGTTGGTGCGTGAAGCTTGCACTGCCCACTGATTGTGTCCGGGTAAGCCGGGTGTTGAGGTTCAAGCGGTCAGCAGCAAAGTACTAGCTGGAGCGTAGCAGTTGTGCTTTTAGTATTTGAACGCCAAAGCATAATATCCCTGATGGATGTCTGCACTAAATATATGATGTTAGTTGGTCGTGGTCAAGAGTTGCGGTCAGGAGATCTTACATGAATTCACCTGTTGGTTTTGGAAAGATCAATGGCCCCTGAATGGTGCTCGTCAAGAATTGGAAAAATAAATCCTGCAAAAGTAATTTATAAACAAACTGTTGAGTGTGGTTTAGGGTATTGCTCATCTAAGTAAAATGATAATAAATATCGGGACCCAGATGTTGCAGATCTTGCCAAGCATAGTACTAACAGCTCAAATGACGACACAACCCGAGCCAAGCATGAACCGGGTCTTTAAAGGGTAGTACTCAGGGGATAGTCGATATAGTTGCAAGCAAATATCTGAGATAGAATATCCTCACCACGTGGCCAGCCTTGGCACAGCATTAGTTACATGGTTGCATAGTTGCATAGTTGCATAACTAACTAGCTAGTTGGTTACTTCAAGAATGATGACGAATCCAGCATGACGCCAGTGCGGAATTGCTCCGGACCCCGCATAGTTGAGCCCTCAGATGATGGCATTGCCAACTGTCCCTGCAGCATTCCTCATACTCCCCTCTTCACTCTTCTTCTTCTCCCACTGAATCCCCAAAGTGCCATCAATACTTCCTAATATCAACATCGCCACCACAATGACCATCCATCAAGCGGGTACCGCCGATAGTTGGCACGGCATCATCCCGAGCACCGACTTCCCCGCCGAACCCGACCGCTACCACCTGTACATCGGACTCTTCTGCCCATTTGCTCACCGCGTCAACTTTGTCCGACACCTCAAGGGCCTCACCGACATCATCAAAACCAGTGTTGTGCGAGCGTACCCGAAGGGAGATCTCAAAGGCTGGCCGGGATGGAAGTTCCCTGAATCGGACGACGAGTACCCCGGGTCAACGGTGGATCATCTATACGGAGAGGATTACCTGCATAAGGTATATTTTCGGGCGGATCCCGAATATAAAGGACGGTATTCGGTGCCGCTCTTATGGGATACGAAGACGGGGACAGCAGTTTGTAATGTATGCTACCTATCTTTGTGTTGAGATGGAGATTCATCACAATGACTGACGGATGTGCCAACTCTAGGAAAGTCTACAAATGCTCCGCTGGCTCCCCAAAGCATTCAACTCCCAGATCCCGTCATCGCTGGCGGAAATCGACCTCTACCCTAGCCACCTGCAAGCGCAGATCGACGCTATCAGCCCGTGGATGCAATCGGACGTGAACTCGGGGGTGTACAAGGCCGGATTCACAGACACGCAGGAGGAATACGACCGTAATGTGGTCCGGGTATTCGGGGCACTGAACAAGCTTGAGCGCATTGTCGCGCAGAATGGCGGCCCGTTCGTGCTAGGGAAGGAGATGACGGAGTTGGATGTGATGCTGTATGCGACATTGATTCGATTCGACGTGGTGTATGTGGAACACTTTAAGTGTAATTTGGGGACCATCCGTCACGATTATCCGGTGCTGCATAACTGGCTCAAGGGCATGTATTGGGATGTGAAGGCTGCGAGGGACACTACCGACTTCAAGCATATTAAGGAGAATGTGAGTCATCTAAATACGCCCAGAAAATATGTGCTAACTGCAATAGTATACCAAGAGCCACTGGCACATCAACCCTAAGGCGATCACACCGCTAGGCCCGTACCCGGACATCGAGGAGGGCGTGGAGAGAGATTGGGCAAAGTTGCGAGTTGGAGGTGTGAAGCACCCGGCTGTGTTGGAACATGAGGCTACTATTCCCAATGTAAGCCAGTAGACCTATGTCCAGGATGATGGGATATACTGTTAGCCATTACCGCATTATTTCTCGATGAACATTAACGCCAGCCAAGCCGGTCGGAAGTGTGCTCCGCAAGCTAGCCAGGATATGATCAGCGGATCTGCAGACTGAGAACGTTATTTGAGCGACATGCCTTGATTTGAGCGAGTCGAATTGAATTGTGAGATTTCCGATTGGTGATCTACTATCAAAACTGGGATGAAGTCTGGTTCGTCCAGCGTCGTACGTGTCCTGGACCAGCTATCGACAGAATGCATCTAGAGCAGAGTACTTATCAACCAACCACAACATCTGTCATAAAAAAACGATTAGCCAGTACCTTGGTTTATCGTCAGGTCGAAAATGTAGTCTATCACGTAAACGCCTAGAACGTAGTCAAGTTCCCCTGACCCGGATGGGAACCGTGGTTCAGATATAGGGACGTAGATGTAGCCGTGGCATAGCCGATGGCTATCTTGAATTTAGGTGGAAAAAGCAGCCGACATGCCATCCATTATTGAATCCGGTGTACGTGCACAATATGAAACTACAGCCTTCAAGGGATAGGACTTTAAACCTATAATATACAGACACCCGGTATCGAACAAGCCTGCGAATTATTCTCAGTCAATTTTTTCCCAATCTGGCATAACTACTTAGATCTTAACACCATCTTGAATAATATCGCATCTGTAATATATCAGAATACTAGATAGAATAGTAGAATACCACCAGTAAGTAGTGAAACACCCCATTTCAATATATCTGAAGCAACCGCCAGATCGATCAACGGCTACTATCTCAACGGTCGCCTCCCGGCCACCCGAGAAACCCAAAAATGGGTCCCCGCAACCCCTCAAAAGTGGTAGTCTCCGATCGACGGGATCATAACCATGTATGTAGAGCATCCATCAATGACAAGGTTCTAGACTTCCTTCTCACTGTTGACTATTGTAGAGAATATCAGATTATGTGATGGGAAAGAAAGATATAAATTGACCTTCGTGGTCTCCAGATTACTCTACGATCATTCAGCTACTACCTTTCTACAGCTCACACCTACAAGACTTATCCAAACCACCCTATACCACTCTACCTACCACTACCGTATGTGTTTCACTATACACTACTATCAAGCAGAGATACATTTACTGACAGCTCCAATCAGATACCAAAATGAAGTTCATCCTCCTCTCCGCCCTCTCCCTCCTGGCCGTCTTCGCCACCGCCAATCCCATCGACATTGATGTCGGCGCGGTGGTCTCGGGCGCTGCAGATGCAGCTGCCAGTGTTGGTGCGGATGTAGATGCCGCTGTTGGTGATATTATCTAATTCATTACTGCCTAAATTTCTGTATGTTGTGCCTTTCTGACATATCGTTTGGGTTGGAGTGAGGGCTGACTGTTTAAAACTAGGTTAGATACTAAGTTTATGGTGGGAGTTAGGCGATGGGTCAGTTACTATACTATGTATATATTATATGTACATGAATGGAGGAATGAAACAAATATGTATCAAATGCCTCTCCTTTGCTGGTTGTTGTCATGTTTCATCCCTATCCTACTGTAGGGATGAAACTGTCTCAGCCCAGCTGAAGAATTCCCACGGGTGGCGCCGCGGCCTACCTACACTCACTGTATCTTCAACCACCGCTTCATCTGTAGCCTACCGACATATAACAAACACCCTTGGAAGAAAAAATTGGCACATTGATCCACAACATACACATCTATATACAAAAAAGGTGAAATAAACGAGAGACAAGAATTGAAACACACCATCATCTATCTAACCCATCGCCCTGCGACAGCCAGCCACCATCCACATCAAGAAGAAACAGGCAACAACAACGGAATGACCTGGTTCATGTACGAGTTATACACGGTATACGAACTCGTATTTCCCAGGAAAATCTGGTCAGAGATATTTCCAACTTGGCTAATGAGGGTCGGGAGATGCACACTATCCGGAACGGAGTAGACCATCGTAGCCAGGGCACTGTGATTGCCGCCTCTGATGGCAGAGAATGAGTCATCAGACATGGCGCTCAGAAACGAATCGTAGGGCGACTCGAAGACCACGGTGGAGTCGGGAATGGTGAGGTAGGCCGAGTCAGGGACTGTGCCGGGGTTGGTCACGACCTATACATACCATTCGTTAGTTACCCGGGATGCAGGGTGGTGGAAAATCAGGGTAGGTGGGAGGGGGACATACAAAGTTCTCCGGTCCCAGGCCGGAACTCTCCTTGATGAGATTGGCGAGTTGCTGGTAGTACGAAACCAGCTCCTCGCTGTAGGCGTTGGGGGCTTCGTCGAGGAAGATGCCGTGCACAGCAAAAGAAGAGTTACCGGAGGCGGAGGGCCAGCCGGCATAGGTTTTGATGTCGCTTTCGACGTCTGAAATGGCGCGAGTGCCCTTCTCTGTCGGGACGTAGCCGATGGCGAGTACGTTGCTGTAGCTGGTGAGTCGGGGGACGGCGGTCAGGAAGTTGCTGTCAGGGAGACTGCTGGAGCCGGGACCGCTGTCAGGGTTGATGATGATGGTGAAGTGGACGTTGGGGAAAGCCGCGACGCTGGGGAGGTTAGTAAGTTGGTATGTTACAGTCATGATATTACAACGTACAGTTCTTCCATGGGGGTCCAGGCGCCAGCTTCGGGATAGACGTAGAATGGGATGATGACCTTTGCGGTGATGTTGCTCTCGACTACCGCGGCGGCAGAGGCGGAGGCGGAGGCAATTACTGAGGATACTGCAGAGGGGGCCCAGTAGCATGCGGAAGGAGCTTCAGTGGGAGCGCTGCCCTGAGCGATAGTGATGAGGGTGCTGGGCTGGGGTTGTTGGGTGGGATTGATGGGATGATGATGACGGTGACCGACGTGCTGGTGTGCCGCCAAAGCCTGACTGGGCAGGAGGGCCACACAGCTGAGCATCCCCAGGATGAGGCGAGAAGTAGATCCGAACATGGCGGTAAAGTCTTGAGAATCAATAAAGGAATGACGAAAAGTTGGGAAACGAAAGACGAGGCGACAGGCTTTCCAGAAGCTGAGAGTCAACACCAAACCATCCAAGACCAGCTGGATGGGGCCCTGAAGGGTTATATACTGGCCCTCGAAAGGAATGAATGAGGGACAATGAATGAAAGATGAGATGACAGGTTTTTGGCGCTGGAAATGATGGCGCCCCCCATCGGACATTTAGGTGAAACACCAGGGCGGCGATCCGATTCGAGCACGAACCGGTGAGATGCTGGATCGGGTGGAGATTGCAGGGTATAGGCAGTTTGGCCATTTAAGTGGCATTCGTGGTGGTGATTGGGCGATCTGGGGAATGACGGGGGCGTCGCTGGAAATTACACGATCCGCTCGGACTAAAAGAACGCTCGGGGTTGCGGGTAGCAGATGGTTTCAAAACGGTCGTTTGCTAGTGATATATCATGTTTCTAGTGTGACATTGTGCTACTAACTATCCCGTATACTTTGATGTGATAGACAGGTCAACGGTGAATAACTACCTTGGAAATGAAGTGTCCTACTTGTCCCTTCTGTTTCTACCATCACTGGGCATACCGCTGGGAATGTTCCCCACCGCGTCGCGGATGGCCCCGTCCAATTTCCACACCTCGCTGCAGGATTCCAAACCGACCCAACATTTGGGCCATACGCGAGCGTGAATCGCTTCCTGTGGTTGGCGGATCCGTCGTTGCGTCATGAACTATGCCTGCATTTGGGGTCCTTGAGATTATATGAAATGAGCAGTTGGTCCAGGAGCAGAGAGGGACCGCCACTGTCAGCTGGTGGGCTAACGCTGGTTCTTGCAGGTACTGTCTGTCCTGTCTTGAGAGAATCATCGGGGTTTACGCGCTGCTCACCTACCCAAAGACGCAGGTTCAAAATTGATCTGCTTGAGATGATATTTCCGAGGATATGCAGATGATATCGTGAGGTGTAAATCTGGGGATTGTCTAGTCAAGAAAGCAATGCAGCGACATGATCATGGGGTCGGAAGTAGAGGTACTGGGAGTAACCACCAGGTACACACCGGGTTGCCGCCATCTAGACCCGGCGATAGAACAGGATCTATCACCACCCCCATGGCTAGTGCCGCCTCGTTTCGGGGAGCCTGTTGATCGGTATTTGACTACGGAGGCACACAAAGAAATGCGTACTATATACCCGACGTGATGGACGGATCAATTCAGGAGGTCCAGGAGACATTAGGCAGCAAGATGATGAATGACTCCATCTGTATACAGTATGAGACTGGTGCAACAGGGCTAGAGACTCCCCGATCAGCTGGGTTCATCTCTGGGAGAGTTGAAGGCATTCCCGACCGGATACCTAAGTTCTTGGAAGGGGGGTCCGGAAGGGTTCCTGGCGGCGTTGCCCTGAGCGAACCCGGAAATGGACTAGTGGCGGGCACCGGAAAATTTATTTGATCCAGACACCCATTCATTCAAAGCACTTCATTTGATTTCTTGATCTTAACTATTCTCCGATCAAACCTTTTGCAATACAATAATCCCTTGGAAAAAGCAATGCAACCGACTGAAGGTCCACATGTATTGACTGACGGTCTATGGGGAAACAAAGTTTGACCGTGCTTGGCATGAGGTCACGTCTCAGTCACAGCGCGTACAAGTGCCTGAGCGCCCTCCTAAGCGAGTAACTTCACTGCTGATGCTGTAACGTTGCAGCAGAGTAGCGTCGCCACTGTTGGCTATGCCAGTCAGTGACTGTCTGCCTTTACAGTCGGCAGTTATTACTAGATAGGGAGCATCACGCCGAAAGAGATGCAATGAGCAGCAGTATTTCGAACCCAACAGCATCTGATTGACAGTAAACAACTACACTGGTTGTAGTGTTGACCGTTGTGTTGATATCGCGGCTGATACGATAACTGTCTGTGTGCAAACTGGCGATAGTCGGCGGTTATCCCGCCTACCATCGGGGATGAATTCTCCGTCGTCCGCTCTAGGCTCCAGCCATTCATTGCATTGCTACTTTGGTCTGGTCCGGCAGATTTGACCGACAGCCTTTATAGCCACAGTGATTGGTGGACGAGGAACCAACCAATCCACCCATCCATATCAGCCAGTGTTCCCAAAAAACCTGATGTTCCAGCAAGGCTTCGAGAGCTTCCATGCTCGACGCCGTTCATTGTTAGCTGCTACTAGTATCTTGAACCGGTAGGTGTCACTCCAGATAGTATTTATCTCAACGTCAGCCGAGCCTATCACCGACCCCATCATGCCACTACTTTTAGTAGCCTGCAGCATGGCATGTTCTCATCCAGGTATGGCCGTTTTGCTTCGGCCATTCACCGAGGAACCAGCCCAAGTGCTCCGTCCCCACTGGAATTTTAAACTGTAGACCCACGACCGGGAGATCCTCGTTGAAAAGGAAAAGAAGGGCAAAGAAGGGAAAGAAAGAGAAGATTTCGCAACAACGATGACCCGAACAGCCACGTGAACGGGGCTGACACCTTGTTTGGGTATAGCGTCGGAGCATGGAGATGCCGTGATTGGACGAAGGTGACTAAGATAAACCCGCGAGACAAATAGGGTTACAACCTTACCCTCCCTTGCTATACTCTTTCCAGCAAAGGTTGGTTCCAGCCATCTCAGAGCTTATCACCAGCGGCGTGAAGGAGGGGAGGCATATAACCAATAAGATAGTTAAAAATAAGAATTCTCCACCACTATCTCTAGGCATTCCCCACTGGTTGCTGTTCTTATCACTTCACAGTTAAAGTGTGGGTGCAAATCTTTGCCCGCCGCGTGCTCAGGCGCCACGCCCCCCGCGGAATAAAATCCTGCAGCTGCCGTGCACCATGCGACCTCTTTTCAATCTTTAGGTGGCCGGGGTCGATACACTGCGTCCTCTGTCTTTCCTACTGGTCCATAGTTTCAACATAATGGCCAGGTTTGGCAGTCGGGTGGTCTCCGCCCTCGAGCTGGAATCCAGCCAGGACTCGCGCTGGTCCAACGAAGGTCGGCAAACCCTATTCAAGTAGCTATGAAAGCTGCTGCGCGCGGCACGCGACTTGGAACTTACCTTCTCTGCAGATCTGCTTCCCACTCCTCCGGAGCAGTGCAGTAAGTCTTGAACTTGACCCAGTGTCTGCTCATGCCAGTGCTAATGATGCAGCCTGGCGCTGGTGGAACTATGTCTCGTTCTACTGGTCCATCTCTTTTACCAACTGGACCTTGGGATCGGTATGCTTTTGGCCCTTTCTGCTAGGTTTTAATTTCGATGGCATTCTGATTCTGTAGACCATGATCGGCATCGGTCTTAATTGGTGGCAGTCGATTGTCGTCATCTTCGTCTCCCAGCTCATCTCGTCCATCGCCATGGCATTCAACTCGCGTGCCGCCAGTGTATATCATATTGGGTTTCCCTGCGTCGGGCGCAGCGTGTTTGGCATGTGGGGGAGCTACTACTTTGTCGGTGCACGAGCGGTGCTGGCCATCGTGTGGTTTGCCATTCAGAGTATGTGACAGTTGCTTGTCACGAATCGCTTCAAATGATGAACGCCTCATTCTGACCCTTGCAGTGGACTTTGGCGCCGAATACATGTACAACATTCTGCGGGCGATTTTCGGTCACCATTACACCGACATCCCCAACCACATCCCATCCAGCACAGGTATCACCACGCAGAAGATGCTGGCCTTTTTCCTCTGCTGGCTGGTGCATCTGCCCTTTTGCCATTTCCGTCCCTACCAGCTGCGCAAGTTCTTCATCTTCAAGACCTTCATTTCCCTGCCCGCCATGTTCGGATTGTTCATTTTCGCCATGGCCAACACTAAGGGTCAGCTGGGGACGATGTACACGGCCGAGGCACGATCCGCGACAGCAACCGCCTGGATGATTATTGCGGGAATCAACAGTGGCTTGGGGTAAGCCATTCCTCTCGGAATCCTTGGCACACCCACAGAAGACTAATAAGACCAGTAACACGGCCACGTTGATCACCAACCAACCGGACTACTGCCGCTGGACTAGAACTCGCAATGCCCCGCTCTGGACCCAGTTGCTCTCGAACCCGATCGCGGTGACGCTCTCGGCGAGTCTGGGTATTCTGGCGACAGCCGCCATCAACAACAAATACGGCACCGACATCTGGTACGCCATTCTGCCACATACCTAATATTTTCGATCCTTGCTAATTGAGTAGGAACCAATGGGACATGATGGAATTCATCCTGGACCATTACTGGTCCGGCACCACCCGATTCGCCGTGTTCCTCGTGGCCTTTGCCTGGCTGGTACAGATCCTCGGAACCAACGTCGCGGCCAACATGATCTCCTTCGGTGCGGATTCCTCCATGCTGTTCCCTCGATTCATCAACATGCGTCGTGGACAGTACATCGTGCAGACGCTCGCGTGGGCCGTCGTGCCATGGGAGATTCTCACGTCGGCGACGAAGTTCGAGGACTTTTTGTCCGGATACGCGTTGTTCATGGGTGCCGTCGTGGCCATCATGGTGTGCGAGTGTATGTCCTTACCTCCACCTACTCCTCGAAATGATTAAAACATACTAATGAATTGTAGACTTCTGCTTCGCCAAAGGCAACATCTTCCTCTCATCCCTGTATGACGGCACAAAACTGAACAAAAACTATCGATACTACGGCGGGTGGAACATCCAAGCTGTGATCGCATACATTATTGCCATCGCGCTGCCATTCCCTGGTACGGTTATCCTTCATCTCCCATAACTCACCAGATATTAATAATTACTTGTACAGGCTTCGTCGGCTCTCTCGGCGCCAGCGTCTCCACAACCGCGACCCGCATGGGCGATCTCGGGTGGATCTTATCCTTCACGACCGCCTTCGTGATGTACTACATCATCTGCACGTTCTGGCCCACGGAGAACCAGCTATTGATCAAGAAGCAGGGGTTGGCGTGGGAGCAGACGGCCCAGGATACCGACCCGCAGGACTTCTATCTTAACGGGGCGGGACTTGGGGGTGCGGATGAGCCGGTGGCGGCTCATCAGCAGGTGGTTGTTGAGAAGGGGGTCATGGAGAAGGATGTATAATCTGTACAAATGTGTGAGATTTGATGGATATGATATGATATGTTTTGGGAGGTAATTACAAGGTTCTACTCTGCTCTGAATTGGATATGAATATAGAACTTTTTTGTCATGATCGAGCCTGTTCTGCATAGTATTTACCGAAATGTAACAATGAACCATGCTGTCTGTAGTAGGGCGACGCCCACTCATACAGCTAATAATAGCACGCAATATCCCAAATCCGAACACAGAAGAGACCTTACTTTTAGGTATCTCAAACGAATGACTCAGAACCACCCTCTTCACATACCAGACTCGCACGAACAATGCATCCACCACCACCACCGCCGCCGCCAAACTCACAACTGCTCAATACTCTCTATCACCGTATCCATAACACCAAGCGTACTCTGTCCACTCCCACCCGTGCTGTTCAAAAACCGATCAACCTGGGCCTCCAAATTGATAGAATCTGCCGCACCCTCGCCACCGTCCAGAGGATTCCCAGTCCCCGAATTGGATACAGTAGCGAGGGAATGAGCAGGAGCAGAGACATTCCCACTCCCATTCACATTCTGCGACCCGACCTCACCAGACCGCTGCGGACGATGAGTATGAGCATGATCCCTGACACTCCTAGCGCGTCTACTCCTCGACCTCCTAGTCTCAATTCCTCGAATGTTAATAATACTCGGGATCAGAGTAGGCCGGGGACATGTAAGAAACGGGGATAAGCATGAGCTCCATGATCTACACACACAAACAATATATTAGTCAACATTACTTATATTTTCCACGAAGGGGGGGGGTAATAACATACAATCCTAAATTCCGTCTAATCATATCCACAATCTCGGTATTACCCATGTACAAAGCAACGCGGACAGCAGCCTTGGCATCCGAAACCCACTTCTGCAGCGGGTACGCAAAGAACGCCGAAGTAGATAGTAGTAACTTGACGACGCGACGCAGGCCCATACATGCTGCTAGGAACAGTTCGGTGCGGTCATATCCGTGGCGCATCTGCAGGCTCATATCGGCCGAGATGAGGAAACAAGCTGTCAGCTCATTCCTCTCTAGAATTGCCATGTGCAGGGGTGTCACGTCCCAGTCTGTATATGTGGTCCGGAGGTGCGGAGCACGAGCAAGCAGCAAGTCGCATACCTCGGGGGTGCCGAACGCGGCGGCCGAGTGGAGGATGGTGTGGCCTGATTCGGAGCGTTCGTGGAGCACATCCGGATGGTTCTTGATGAGGAGCTGAAGGAGCTCTGGGGCATTCCCGGGGGAGTCGAAGAGGACGTTGAGGGTGGGGAATCGGCGGATTTGGGCACCATATCTGAGTAGCAGACGGAGGATGTCGACGCGGATAGAGCTGAGCTGCGGGGCTACGCGATCGGGGCATTGAAAGAGTTGGTCGAGCTCAGGGACTTCCGGGTCGAAGCTGTACTGGGGGCTGGCTCCACTCTCGAGTAGAAGATCGGCGATACCCAAGTGGCCGGAGGTTAGGGCTAGGTGAAGGAGGGAGTTGCCCTCGCGGTCGCAGGTGTTGAGGGGCATCCTGCGGGACGACAGGCGGTAGTCGACTTCGTCAATGTCGCCGAGTTGGATGGCGTGGGAGAGGTCCTCGGTGAAGGCGGAGACGTGAGGGTTACGAAGGTGCCATCTACCGGTGGGGTCCATTCGACCGGAGCGGAGGCTTGCTGGGGTTTCGCAGATGGCGTCTGCCCAACAGTTCTTGCGGATGTTGGTATATAGGTTGTCGACGAGGTTCTTCGTCGAGGTGGAGAGAGATCTGATGCCTTCTGCCGTGAGGAGTCTTCTGCTGCCGCTGGCGCGAAGCTTCTCGGCCACGGCTTCCAGAGCCGGACTGGCATTGGGCACGGGGGCCTTGAAGGGGCGAGGAGTGCAAGGCATAGTTGGCGATGGTGGTGGTGGCTCCTAGACTGGTGATGGCAACGTTCGATGCTTGTGTTTCCGGGAGGATTAAATTCATAGTGGTATATATATGGACAGGGGTACTTTGAAAGGTTATTGTTGCTGTGAAGGGGGGTATACAAGGTACTGAATGAGAACTGGGATTGCTTGGGTATGAGGACCTTGTTGTGGGTGTGGCCGTGATGGTGGTATAGATGTGAAAGGGGAATTGCGCTGTTGAGTCTGGGATTGGGGGTTTGATAGCTGCCAAGACTGATGATGGCACAGGTGGTGGGATAGCTTCGTCGTTGCATAAAGTAAGTGGACTGGGGTTAACTATTATTTGTGGGGTGGTTAATGGAAGTATCCATGGCTTAAACCTGACTGAGTTCTGAGGGACCCAGGGCAATGGTAGCTGAGATTCTAAGATAGTTATAATCGGCAGTATCCGAGAGACACCGGACATTTATGGCTGCCTTCCATGAGAAAGCATATCCTCGCTCTCAGAGCTTGTATATGTCGAATTCTCCTCGTGTCGTTGGGCTTTGAGTCTGCAAGATCTGTTTCAGGGTTGTCATGTCGATCATGCATCGATTAAGGAACCTGCCGGTAGCAAGGCCCCAGTTGGACCTCAGAGTAGACCATTATTCATGATTTGAGTTAGTTGACTCCAGGTAATCTCGTATAGTGTGTTGCTCCCAAGACATTGCGAGTCAATCTCGTATTCAGAGTATGCCAAGTTACCTCCTTTATAGTATCAAGGCAATTCCCAGAAAGACCACCACAATAGGCGCGCTGATAGAGAGTATCGACCGCTGATTTGAGCATATATGTCTTAATACACCTCGGATGAAGCCTGAACATCTCAATCCCACAGGCCCAGTGCATCCTCATCATCCTCTTAGTAATTTCTCTTGTGCTTGTACTTTCGGTTATGCTCCACCACTAGAGCGAACGCCTAGTCCACGCAGACTGATGAGTTGCGCTTGATATAACTCAGATCTTATGGTCCTGTTTCTCTTGCCGATGAGAGCCTTCGAGTATACGTCTCCAATAAGTGACAAAGAATGAACACCTCCTCTCCACACACAAGTCGTCATCTGTTTCGAAGTAGTTCTCTGTTCGGCTTCCTTATTCCAAGCCTTGTCTCGAGCTATACAGCATCAACGAAGTGTGAACACCTCATCTCCACACACACACACACACACACACACACACACACACAGTCATGTTTCTAACTACTTTTCTCTTGCCAGCTCTTGTCTCCAGATACACGCCATCAAATGAGTGCGAACATCTTACTTCCACACACAATGCACCTTCCTCATCTTCATCACCCATTGCCTTCTCAGGTGTCAAATATACACCCTTCAACACCCATTTATAACTCCCAAGTCCTCGCCACCTCACTGGAATACACCATAGCCTGACCCAGATCCAGACTGGACCACTTCTTTGGATTCTGCACCGCATCGACGTAATGATTAAGCGCCAGGATCATCTGTCTGGCCCACTTCTCAGGCGAGACAAGCCCACACCCTGTCGCAAACGGGGTCATCAAGAGACTATCAATCCTCGTTGCCCCGTCTGCTGTCCTATCAACATCCCAGTTATGTCTGTCGATAGCGCACAACAAGCTCCAGATACACTCATACACGATCTCCCGATCCCAGCGCACATTCTGCGGCACTCTCATGGTCGGACAGAGCGCCACGTACCTTGTTCCCCAGACATTCTTCGATCGATTGTAAAACTCCTCCGGGATAGTGATGAGCGTACATGATCCCGGGGGCAGGTAGGCCCGATAATCGCGATAGAGAATCCCTTGCGTATGGCGGGTCAAGGCGAGGTAGTCTGTCGTTGGGGAGAAGGCACGTGAGATGGCGTCGTCGAAGCCACCGTCTAGCCGGCCGTAGGAGTTGGCTGGGGAGACGATCACATCGAATTGAATGTTCGGTGAGATATAAGAGAGGGAACAATTGTGGAAAGTGATCTTGGGAAATTGGGGAGATGTGGTGGTTGTCGACAAGGCAGATTCGAAGGCACGGATGTATTTTTCGTCCATGCAGAGGAGATGAATTTGGGGAAAGGGGGATGCTGTAGGTGGCATCATGATTGTAGATGATGTGGTTCCAGATAGATAACAGTCTTGAATATTACTATGGAGGATCTTTCTATAGTATTTATATTTTTCCGAGGATTGCTGCAGCCTTGCCTTGGCGCCCCACGGAGGCTGAGTTGTTCATGGGTAGTGCTGATGAGGCTGATGAGGCTGATGAGGCATTGTGCAGGCAAATGACTCATGTGACTTGTGTCCTCTATACGTCTAGGATGCTGGCTCTGTGATTGAAATTTGAGACAGGCAGGTCTTACGTCCTATTTATAATGTTGGGAAAGAGGTATTTTAAATTATGCTGTTCACAAGTTTGCGGAGATTCCCGCACCACTAGTCAAAGCCTTGCCCGCGAGTTCCTCCAGAATATCCGCCACTTTGTCTGGCATGCTCAGGTACGGTGAATGGGAGCTTTTCAGTCTATAGATCCACTTCGTATTCAGCATTTGTGCCATCTGCTCCTGCACATGTGGCGGAAGTGCCCGATCTTCCTCGCAGATAATATAGGCGGTCGGCATGACATGCCAAGGCTCAAACGTCGAGGCACCGGAGAATACAGCAATAGACGTGTGTGTCAACCGGGATGCCCACAGTTCTTGGTCGACAGGTGGGATGTCGTGGAAACCGTATTCAGGTCCTTCAAGGCAATGCACGTAATCATCCTGAATAATGTAAGGTGAAAGTCGCAAATTCGCGATGTCATTGAACTCACCTCTGCCTTCATGAACGGCAAGAACCGGCCTCCCAGCATATCCAGGAGACTCTTCCCCTTTGGTATGGCAAACGCACTCATGTACACGACCATGACAACCCCGCCCTGCTTTCCCTGTTGCGCGCGTTCTGCCTTGCCCAACTCTTCGACCGCCCCGGACCCGACAACTCCACCGTATGAATGTAGCACTAAGATGATGTCTTTCCCCTTGTCGATCATCGAGACTAGCTCGGACCGCAAGTGGGCAACATCGTCGGTCAGAGTCTTCGAGGGTGGCTCCGCACCAATGGAGGGGTGGGCAATGGCCGTCGAAGGTAAATCACGCGAGGTTAGAGTAGCACGCAGAGCATCATAGACAATCGGGGTGCACCACGCCCCAGGAACCAGGACAATGGTTGGAACAGATACCATTTTGCGAATGTAGATAATTGCGATGTGCAAGAAGATCAACTGGTTTGCAGTTTCAAGCCCCGGGGGAAGTCTCAAGAAGAGGGCAAAATTCCCACTTACCGAGGTGTCCCGCGCCTCAGTCTAGATTCCCCGTAAAGGGATGCGATCTTCAACGCGAATCACTCTGTTGCAATGCCATTATTGAGATAGTCCATAATTGGGCCAATTTGTTCTTAGCCCACCTGTCAGCCGTCTTAGCCCACTCGCTTGGACATTGGCAAACCGAACGGTCCAATGCCGTTGCGTGCACGGGTGCGCTATACCGCCAGTATCCGCAAACCGTTTTGTTAATGAAGTGGATCCAACCACTCGGAAATTCCGCCGGCCGAGGGAGGGTTATTGTTCTTCGACCCCTCGAGCAGAAGGGTGGTGTAAATCAGAGATATAGGTAAAGTCGGGTATGCCGGACGGGACATTTAACTCCATACCGTGGCCTGCATGGCCCAAGGCGTATGATAGGAATTGAGGAGTTGTAAAAATAACACACAAATTGAGCAGTAAGCGAGGACGGTTGTGCTTATGGTCTTGGCGAAATTGACTTTGCTGCTCCTTCTTGCCAATAGAGGGGTAAGAGAGTGCCTTGTGCCTTGGATGTTCTCAAGCTTACACCCGTCTCCCAGGGCATGGTCATTTGACTTCCCGGAAAGACCGTGCCAATATGTTGACTGCCGTCTATGGGTTGATGTGCTGAGCGTTCATGCAGATATGGTGTATTGTAAGTTGGTCGTCTGATAGGCCAGGCCCTTATACGATGCTTCACAGAATCTGGCAGGCTGGGTATTACTTTGTTGATAATTTGATCACTGCTGCTCTCTAGTCATCAGTTCCAGCTACCCAGTAAATCTGACAGAAACCATTTCATCTCCTGTCAACTCGGTGTGGTGATGGGAACAAAGGTGGATGAAGGTTATGATTGAAAACCAGGCATAGCCACTCTAGCTTGTAGGATAGTCAGAATATAACCATAGTGCAACCCAGGATAGCTATGTCGTCAACAGCCGATAGCCATTCATCTAAACGTCATTATGATCGTTTGGCGGAGGTTGCGTTAGTGTGCTTCTTGGAAATATCAGTGAATGGCCCAATAAAAGCTCCTTCTCATAAGGTGGAGCAGAGAGCATTATGGTACATGATGTATATGCCTAGGAAAAAGCTGATGCAGGTTGAACAGTGACCTTCTTCGGCAATATTCGTCTGGGCTAATTGTCGTAACTAATCGGTCGTCCTCTCAATATTAGTCAAAATATCGCTGCTGTGCATGTGGTATAATAAGGTTGCATTCATACACCGCATTCTCCAGCCGGCTTGAAGAAGCCGTGGGAGATCTCGACTTTTCTGGCTTGTCACTGTCATCGAGCATGGCGTAGTCATGTTGCTTAGTCGGAGACATTGTTTTTTGTGTAGATAATTATGACTTGTACTCATATCATGATCAGAATGGATCAACAGGTAGTCAGATCGATGAAAGAGAAAATAATGTAGTATCTGGGGTACAACAGTAGCATCCTGCGAGTATTAGCAGGAGAGGAAGTTCTGAAATGAATCCCACATTGATGGACTCCTGAAGATATGTGTTGTCACCTGATAACTGGGACACCTTCGACCTTGCTATTCAATTTCCTGCACCGAGTCACCGGAGCTTTCCTCGAAGCAGATGATAACGATGTCTATTGTTGGGACGACCCTGGTGAAGTGAGAATATATTCCAATTATTCGACAGCAAGGGCGGATTTTGGCCAATGCCATGGAATTCAAGTACGTATTAGACTGAAATTCATATGCGGATTCCGTCTTTTTCATCGATATTACGCGTAAACAGGGTGTGACACGACGTTAGAAGCTTTTTACAATCCCAGCGCTGACGTGGCCCCATCCACGAGGTTACATAGAGATGTTCGAATTGCGACAGAGGACCGAAGACGCAAAGATGACACCATTCGCTAATGTTTGCAACTAATACAATGCACCCTTGTTGCATTCACGGCAAAGACCATCCCTCAGCTAGAAGCATCAGACCAACCTTCCAGGTTCACCGTGATCGGCTTTCTTCCTGCTCTAGTGATAACCCATTCGACATCCTGGTCTGATTGGTTCATCTCCTGGTGCTCAGTGTAACTGCACACAGGTAGATCCCAATCAGTTCATGTCCTTGATCAAGTGGAGGCCGCACTACTTACGCAGGAATGATAGCAAAGTCACCCGGGGAGAGGTCTTTGCGCTGCTTTCCCCCATCGAATACAATGGAGCCATGGCCCTTTGCGGCATAGACGATAGTATCTTGCTCACCGTGATGGTGAACAGCCGAGCAGGAATGTGGCTCGGCGCACATGACTGTTAGGAATTGTATTAGAAACAGTCCAAGACCTGAAAGGGGCTCGACCAACCTAATGCACACAACTGATCCGACTTGTCGATAATAGCTCCCTTCCGAACCATTCCTTCAGTCCGACCCCCTACCGTGTGTTTTGGTCATTTATATCATCCCTTGTTCCCCGGAGAAAAGTTGCACATACCCGTTGCCTCATCCAATTCCGAGGATCTGGTGACATCAACCTTATTATTGGCCATTTTGAATACTTCTACTAAGTCAAGCAAACACAGGATGCTCTAAAAAAACCAGCCTGCGTGAAGTTGCGACACGAGCTTAAAAGAGGATTGATGCAACCCCACCATGCTGAATAATGCCATGACATCACCGGCTGCCGATTTCGACGATCCAAGCAGGCTGCAGAACTACAAGAGCCACGTATCTTGCTGCCTATCACTCGGCCGAGTACAATTTAGAATTCAAGCTTATACCCACGTCAACATAGGGAATGATAAACGAATTCGGTGTTAGTGTAGGGCTGCACGTTCCGAACTGAAAGTCTAAACCTACTGAACGCCAAGCTTTGATATGATGCTTGTTTGTACCATGATGGACTTGCAGGAGATTATGACTCGCTCAAATGGAACTGCCAAGAACCTCGGTTCATATTGTGGGACCAAGGCAGGCCACCAACCATGTGGAAGGCGATCCCACAAATACAAAAAGTGGAAAAAGTAGGTCAAGGCCCTTGCCCGGCTAGTGTGTGGCCTGAGGTTGAAAATATCTATTTCTGCCTGAGGCGATAGGCAGTTTGTGCAATCATCTCACTGCTGAGTCAGTTGTACATATTCTCATCAGTTGTGTCAACACAACATGTTCTTGCGTCCGGTTCAAGTGAGTTCCAGAATTAGAGAGGCCAGACAAATGGCATGATGCTGTAGAAACGGCAAACTAGAGATTTGCTATATAGGAAGACACCGCTGGAGTAAACACAGCCTCAGCCCAGCAGACTCAGCAAGCCCAAAGTGAATGAGAGGTGAAGATGCATTATTTTGACAGCAATGTCATTGGCAAGCATATTTTCCGCGAACTAGGAAGGGTTGGAAATGCTTCATGAGCAGATGACAGTGAATGAGTGTATAATTCTCATAGTTGAGGACAAAACTTCTTAGTTCAGATCTTGCTCGTCATTACTCCCATCTTCCCTACTCCTTCTTCTACGCATGCCAATCTAGCATCAAATCTCTCAAAGTACTCCTTAGGTTCATTCAAACTTCACCTTTCATCATGAGCAAGCGCAGGCCTCCGCCCACCACCACAAAAGGTAAAGGGACATCCGCAGAAGACGGTGGTGATAAAAAGATCAAGCTTGGTCAGAAAGTGTCCTCCTCGACGAGCCTGGATCTAAAGGAAAGTCGGCACGCTCTGTGACATGATGGCTAACACATGGACCTCCTAGACTCTATACCCACTGGCACTTTTACGAACATCCTCCAAACCGATGTCATTGTTCTTGGCACAAAGGGCTCCGACTCAGAATTTAGAATTCACACAGGGCTCCTGAAGTCCAAGTGTTCTGCTCTCTACAAATCCCACATAGAAAAAGCAGTAGACGACTATGTCTGCATGGATACAGAGGCCAGCACACTCTCTGCTCTCGTTGGGTGGGTATATACAGGAGAATACCCCGAAAAGGCGGATCTTGAGAAGAGTGACATCAAATGCATATCCAACAATGAAGAATCTGTTGAATGCAAAATAGCCGATTCAATTTCCGACAACATCCAGCTCTACGTGTTTTGCGACAGACACAGTATCCCGGAATTAGCAAGCCTTGCAATCACACAAATGAAGAAAATCATGTCTTGGGATGGGCGATAGCCGGATACATGTGTCGGTGGCTTTAACATCAGCTGCACGGTTCGCTCTTTCCAAGCTCAAGGAGAACGACCCGTTGTTCGCCTATCTTGCACATTTTGCAGCCTATCACATTGAGATCCTCAGATGCAGTGGCAGCTTCTGCACGCTACTGAGCGACCATCCCAACTTTGCGTTCAGCATTCTTCACTATGCAGGGCCCGCCAAGAAGAAACCCGAGTAAGCTTTGGATCTAAAGGTCCCTGGCATCTTTGTACTTGGAATAAGGACTGGGCGTTGTCGTTGGACAGAGAAATGTGTTGAATTTGAGTTTTACACAGATCGATCACATTGTGATTACCCCCAAACAATTCAAATCGTCATCTGCATGTGTTTCAAATGAGTCTATGCTACTCCAGTAATAACAATACATCCCTCTTGCTACCAAATATCCCCTATTCGATGTCCACCACAAGCGAAGCCCACTTAGAAACATCACCCAAACGCACAAGCCGTAAAAAAAACAACTACTTCCCCACTACTATGGTGAACCCCCTCCCTCCCCACCGACACACTCAAAAATTGGCCCTCATCCAGTTCTATATATACACCCTAGTTTAGTATAAGATAGACTACACTAGGTATAATACTCTCCCGCCTCCAATTCATCCCAGCCAATAACAAAAAGTGCGCATTTTAGTGTCGGATACGGACACGGACACGGAACCGGAATCGGGAAACTTCGGAACACCGTCGGGGTAAGCTCGGGAGTATATTCCGATCCTTACGGTGGGGAGATCCGAAGTAATCCTTTCTGATTAGGGAAGATTGTTTACCTGCTGTAGCAGGGGATTGCGTATTGTAAAGTAGTATGTTCCAAATGAATGGTCACCGATATTCTTATGCGAGGCGCCCGTAGATCGAGGTGCTTACAGAAAGTTTATCTCAATCATATCAATCATGAGGATCACCTATTGTATCGCACCGTTACTATGCACTATGTACTAACTGGATATATTACCAACATAACCATGCAATACTGGAATCTTGTGTTCCTGCATGCCTGCCTCTCCTTACATGCATTGGTATGCGAGACTGGGTTGCTTGGCATCGATAGTCGCCCATGATTGGAAAAGAGCGGTTCGGCGGAGACATACATGTACACAAGCATTTTACAGAGATCATCCGGACCCGAGGATAAGGGTCGATATATGCAAGGCATAATATATCTGTGGTATTTGAAAGTTTGATGTCATTGTGCATAGAACAGGTTGTGTGGGGATGTGGCGATCTCGCCTTTGTAGGGAGTGAGTTCAGCAAAGTAACAGAGTACGTGTGCGTGGGAATGATTTGCTACGATTTTGCTTATTACAAGCAAATATGCCATCGTTTGACACGCAGTGTGGTAATATATAGGGAATGTTCACTCTTGAGGGCCTGTTATTCTCTGAGTGATTTGTACGTTGATGTCGTGGTTATGACGGCCTTACCTGATGGAGAATGGAGTACGGATCGAGAAAGATGTAAAGAGACGTTATCTGCTAGCAGCTGTCTATACTATGTAGTACAGACATCACATTCAGCGTGGTGCTGCTCGATAGCCTCCTGGACAGTACCATTGAGTGGCATATCGCTCAACTTATAATCAACGCGGTCCATCACTTTGGAGATGTGAATCAGCCTTCACGTCTTGGCTCTGCCAGAGAAGTTTATTGAGAAGGCATTTTGCGACAGCTGCTTGTGCGGACTCATTCAAATAAACCAGGTTTTGGGCCACCTTTGTGATGAACCTGCGAGCTGAGGGGCTGAGCAGGAGATTGAAATGATCCTCCATCAGAAACTCATATAGCTCCTGCGAAGAACGTTTCCATATACTCTTGCTCTTAGACAGAGCTTCGTTTAATACTGGCAGTTTGTCGGTGAAGGAGCGACCAAATTCCGGCGATGATGAGTAGAGTGACTCTTGAAATATCACAGCAAGTAGGAACAAGCAGAGGAGTGTATGATCTTGGACATTGGGCGATGCGTTTCCCGATAAGTTTGAGAAACTCGCCAGAGATGTTATCGTTTCATGAATATCAGGGTAGGCGATCAGTCCTTGGGAGGCCTTTGGGTTAACCTGGTGTAGTCGAAGTTCGATTGCTGGATGCACGGTGGCGGGGGTAAAGTACTCTGAGATTTCCCAGACATGCGCTGAGGAGGAATTTCTTGACGGCTCTGCCAGAGAAAAAGCCCTATGCAATCAGGATATTGATTAGTACACAAAGGCTGTAGGTATTAGTATGAACATCATGATCACTCACAGGAAGAGAACCATATGAAGACGCCAACTTGACCGAAAATTCTCTACCCCACCCCTTGCATTAATGACGCTGACAAGGCCATTTTTATGGGCACGCCATTGGTCATCGATGGCCCAGTATTTCTGATTCACAGAGGAAGAAGTAAGATGAGGAACTTGAATGTTATAATGGAGGCCCTGATATGGAAATACTCACCTCGAACATCAGGAGGCGTGCAATAGCCGTAATCGTGTCATCCTGTGTCGATCTTCTTTCATCGGCCAGCCATTTCGCGATGATGCCCACAGCCAGGGTCCTGAACTTTTCCGATTCTATCGACTTTGTCTGGCCTTGACGGTGTGCGACATGGGCTGCCGCATGAGCCATCAATGCACAAAACGAGGCACTATTCGATAGGTCCAAAGGTAACCAGACATCACGTACAGGGTCGAACCCAGTACTCTCTGACAAGCCGGGGCCAAAGCTAGCATTTAAATCGAGCCCTGTATAGATTTAACATCAGTTGCCTGAAGAGTATCGGAATTCTCTGTATTCTACACACATGAAGAGAAGATTTCTTGGTCTTTAGCCGACAGATCTATCGGGAACTTGGGGCCTGGCCCTTGAATTATCGAGGACTGATGCCCGTGAACGACATCTGAAGCTGGAGATTGCGCGTAGGCGGAGCCTTGTTGACCTTCACCCTCTGGTAGATCGGGGGTCTGACCCTGTGATGCATCCTCCTGATACCCTCTGCTCTCTGAGCTATAGTCCTTCGGAAGTAGTGTCCTAAGCTGAGGTCGAGTGGTCTGGGGGGAACTTTGGAGGGCCTGGTGCCTCCTCCTCCAGAACTGTCGCATCGCATGGCTGCGGGCGCCTGGCTGGTCTGTACCGAATACAAACTGGTACTCGGTTGTTGTTGAATCCGAGTCTTGGTCTTCGCTCATGGTGGCGCTATCGATGGGTATCTAGGTCATGCCGTGTGGAGCTGATAATGGGTGGCTGTAAGAACCAGATAAATCTAGGAGGAGGCTGTTTCCGAAGGTCGCTTTCCCGGCATAATCGAGGTTGATAGGTGACTGGGAGTTGGCTTGATGCTTTGACAAGGGGGTAGGCGGGATTAACGAATGCACGGGGTGACGTGGTTTGATCTGGATTTAACAGCAGTGAACGACACTACGTGCCCATCTCTCGTGGCCCGGGGATCGGATGCTGCCCGAATCCCTGTGCAGCTGAAACGAAAGTAAACATTATTAGGGTACCCTAAGGTACTGCTGCATGCTCTCCTGCCCTCTTTTTCCCGTAGTGGACACTGTCGTGGCTTGGGTGGCCGGGCTCAGATATGACTGACGGCCATCCCCCGGTTATGTGGACGCGCTTAATGACCAATATTAGTGCGGGATGGACACTTACTAGTCTTTCTTGGCCGGCAGATCGACTGAGATTGGGAAAATGAAAGGTCGAAAAGATCATATTACATGCAGCTGTTGGGGTCTCACGATCAAGCTGACGGGGAGGGGGTCCCTTTGCAGCCTTAGAGAGGGGCTTCAAGAGTTCGCACCAGTCAACCCTCACCACTCGGACTAGTCCTAAGAGCCATCCACTGGGGCTCTGATTGGCCGAATACTGTTACCCTATTGGGTAATGGGATCTGGGTCCAGTGGACGGTCCGGTCCCGGATGCTTTTTGTACCTCCAGTGCCATTGCGTTGGGCCCTACCAGATCCAGTTGTAAACTTCAACTGGGTCCCATGAGTCCGGCTCCGTAGATCATCTTTTGTCTCGGGCAGCATCTGGTATGTGTAAGGCTTGTGTGTTTGAGTGTCTAACGCAGTGGTCAAGGAGTATATGGCTGGAGAAGCATGGAACCTGGAAGAGGTTGGAGTCTAGGGGTACCACGATTGCGTTCCATGCGCTTCCGTGGCCGCTATCTAGTTAGCAAAGGACTGTATATGTACGCGAAAGAGCTATGTCTTACTAAACTAAGGCGAGCTAAGGTCACACTGCTCGTCCCCAAAATCCTCCTGGCGGAAATAGTATCCGTAGCCCGAGATATTTGTTGTTGCTATCCTTCCCACATGTTGCGGCGAGATTGCCGGGAAGTCGTGGCACGCGCTTATCGAAGGGCGCTCTTCCCTTTCAAGTCCAACCAGGTCAGAGCCCATGTACGTATCTGTTATGTATTGGTTACTAATCGCGATCATGTTCCGCCATCCCAGGGTTCCACGGAAGGCCTTTTATGTTGCAAAGAGTACGAAAGTTGACCGAGGGAATCCCGACTGCCTTCCGACACAGTCCCACCTTTTTCTTCCCTTTCCAGCATGCCAGGATGCTTCTCAGCTCTCATCACCAGACTTCCCTGTGTCGTTAACACTTTGAAAATGTTCCCTTCCATTGACGATGGTCTTTTGCGGTGAAGACCATGGTATGCTAAAACGCATAAGCCTAAACAATTAGACTCCGAGCTATAGACGGCCCATCGCCAATAGCTACTAGGGAGCTCGCTTAATCTAACCTGCGCCATTATTCCGATTTCCTCCAATTGCACGATTGATTGCGTGATTATGAGGCTGGGCGAATTTCCGATCGAAATGAGCTAACTCTTTGGCCCTAATTATATCTGCTGGTCTCTCATGAGCTGTCATATTTTAACCTTAATTGTTTCAACAATACCAGGGTCTTGTTACGGTTACTGCTCTTGCCCAAGCCTATCCGGCATAGGCATTTTGCAAAAGGACCTTCATGCACGCTGTCTATTATGATCCATGTGTCAATGTGTATACCATGATCTTTACATAAGTTCTTCCAATGACAGTCTTAGAATCAATACAGGAAGAAAAAGACCCCAACAAGACAGATCCCGCCTGATTCAGAGATTTTTCTTCAGCTGGTTGACCGTTGTGTCACCGCCGTGTCATCAGTGGAACTCCAATGGTCCTAGACCCATGGTTCGCAAAGCCACTAGTTGTAGTCGTGGGACCTGCCGTCATGGGAAAGGGTTCCGCTTATTTCACCTCCTCCAAATACCTTTTTGTCTTCTGTCACTGGCATTGTTGACTTGATATAAATGACTAAATCTTCATACTCGGAAAACCTGGCCCTGAAAGGATGCACATCAGTTCTATTTCAATCCTCCTATCTCAAGTACCTGGTCAAACCCCATTCAACGAAGATCGGCTCGCACGACAGCCAAACAGTCAAACCCCGGCAGCAGCTTCGTCTTAACATCTGCAAGAGAGTCCCTTGCGTTCCTCCGCCAAATTAGGCCCCGTAATGCTCGAGCACTAATAATCGCCTGTGATCCTACCAGCAAAGCCAGATCCGGCTAAATGTCGGTACCGGCGCGAAAATCACATCGGCTATCCTCGTCCCCAACATCTCCAGTCCCACTTCGCTTATCACCTCCATATGTATCCCATAGATCACCAACCGAGCACGTATGAGTTCTGCACCTACGGAACTGCGGATCTGGCCGTCGGACCTGTCATTGAGCTTGCCCCGCAGTCCTGTTGAGAGCTTCGTGCACATTGCAATTTCGGCGCTTCCCGTGCCGTCCCCTGGGGGTCATCAGGCCAGAAAATATGCATTCAGGAAATCTATCAGACCACGTGGGCTGCTCACGGACTCTCGCTGTTGAGTAACAGACAAGCTCCAGAGTGGAATCCTTTCCCTTGACATGGCAAACTTTATCCCAGTCGTCCGATGCCAAGTAAATGAGTTTGTCGAGCATCCACCCACGTATAACGAGAACAAAGCTCTTTCAGGGCATTCAGGGTGGCTCTGGAGAAAGTGGACCAACGGAAACCCTTTTCCGATTAATCGTGCTTAACCTCACAGACCAGTGGCAAACTTCCATGTGCAATTTTACTGCAGTTAGCCTCGGGCCAAGATCCTTACTTATCAGATTTCAAATTAGACGCTAACAATGCTTTCAAAATAGGAATAGATAGCCATCGAACATACAATTGCCCTTTCCCTGAATTCTCAGCAACCCATACATCCACAAATATCACGACCCCTTCACCTCTACAGTCGCGAAATATCCCTGACCTTTGCCCCTAACATCTCCCTCAAGCGACCATCGACTCTCCCAAACATATTCACCACAGCCTCCTTCAGTGGCTCAGGAACCTCAGCCAGCGTCTCAGCAAGATTTGCAACCCACTTTCGCTTTTCTGTCTCGTCAAAGACCCTATTCCAGAGGTCCCGTGGCTGAACGAAGTCTTCTTCATCCACTGGAATCTCATTCTGGCCCAACGCGAACGACAGAATTCGCTCATCGTGCTGTACCTGGGCGGTATTTCGACTCACAACTCCAGGAGAAAGCGAGCTGCGCACATAGTTCGGGTCACCACCATAATTCTTCGTCACTGTGGCGAAGCCATCCCTCTCAAACGGCGCGTAGACAGGACAAACAGCGCGATTGGGCGGGAGCTGGGTGTAATTGACCCCGAGGCGGTAGCGCTGAGCGTCGGGGTAGGCAAACATGCGGGCTTGTAACACTACATAAAGCCAGGGATATCAGTGCATGTTACACAACTCCACAAGATTGGTATGCATGAACCAAGGGAGAAACATGACCAACAAAAACAGAAACACAATCAAGGGAAAAGAATTAGCAAGGATGCAATGCAAACTTACTGGGATCGGGCGTGCTAGCAATCCCAGGCACCATATTCGATGGCGAAAACGCCGCCTGTTCGATTTCGGCGAAGTAATTTCCGGGCTGTTACTATGTTAGCACACGACACGCTACACACCCCAAAGCTATGCCACCAATTAGCAAAGAGACATAACTCACATTCTTATTCAAGGTCATCTTGCCCACTTCAATGAGTGGGAACTCCTTATGCGACCAAACCTTTGTAATATCAAATAGTCCCCGTCCGAATTCTTCCGCCCTCTCAGGCTCCATAACCTGCACATACAGCTTCCAAACAGGATACTGCCCCCGTGCAATAGCATCCCACAAATCCAAGTTATGGAAATCAGCATCCACCCCAGCCATCCGGGTGGCTTCTTGTCCGGAGAAATATTTCCCGTCGAGCTCAGGCCGGAAATGGAACTTGCAGTACCGGAAGGTGCCATCGGGGGATACGAGCTTGAAGGTGTGTACGCCGAAGCCAGTGACGGATCGAATGGAGCCTGGAATGCCTCGAGAGCCGAAGAGATGGAGCAATGCGTGGACGCTTTCGGGTTGGTTGGTATGGAAGTCCCAGAACTGTGGTACCCCAGAAGGTGAGTTGGTTAGTATACTATGTGATAGGTAGGATAGCAAATATATGGCCAGAGGGTGAGGGACATACCATGGTCCAATTCGGACGATTCGTGGCAGGGTGCCGTTTATGGCTTCTGTTCAGGGAGGGGAAGCGGATAGGGTCTCGGACGAAGAAGACAGGCTATTGGCATCATTTAGCACACAAGTCCTGGGAAACCTTCCTTCCAGTACATAAAGAACGGTAGGTAGGTATACATACGATATGGTTTCCCACAATATCATGGTTCCCCTCTTCGGTGAAGAACTTGACTGAAAATCCACGCACATCTCGCACAGTATCCGCACTACCCTTCTCACCACCCGTCGTGCTGAGTCGAAACAAAACGGGGGTTTTCTTTCCAATACCGTTGAGGAACTTCGCGGAGGTTAGGGACGATACGTCGTTTGTCACCTCGAATTCTCCCCATGCGCCGGCTGCTTTCGCGTGGACGACCCTGCAGAGGTTCTGTTGGTTAAATGAGGATGGACTGGAAAGGGGGCTTGATGGTGGAGGAAGGGAACAGGTACCTTTCTGGGATCCGCTCACGGTTGAAGTGAGCCAGAGTCTCGAGGAGAAGAGTGTCCCCTAGGGTTGTGATGCCTCCACCGCCAATTGTGGGCAGCGTAGTGCTCACGGAGGGGTCAGGGATGGGTTGGCCTAACAGAGTCAGAACATGGAATTGAGTGTAGGATCGAGGAAGGGACCTTCTGCCAGGGTATAAACAGGTCTGGACATGATGAAAGGTTGATTCGATAGACTATTATCGTTGAAGCTCAAATATAAAGGCTGATAATGATTCTTGAGGTGCTTGTTCTGTTTGACCAGCAGTTCCTGGTAACCCCGTATATATATTGCCAGCAGCCGCGGAGCGTGACGTCCATGGTGAATCAGCTAACATAGACATCTTTAATCGCTCAATGCGAGTCAATTCTCCAATTCAATGCCAGAGTATCTCGGTGTACACAGTGGTGAGGGGAAGTATAAGACAAGGAATCTAT